AACTTTTTTGAAGGAATTACTCTATAAAAAGAAAAAATGGAGGTGACAAAGTATGACCTGGGCAAGGCCCTGGATCAAGTACCTAAAAAACTGTGTTAAGGAAATATATTTAGAGATTTGATATGATGCTCACTGAAGTGAATGGCAAAGCTCCCACCAACTTTAACGGTAGAGGATCAAGGCCTAGGTCCAAGGGATATGAATATATTAGAATATAGTTCTGTCATTTAAAAACTCTCTTAATATAGTCACAATAGAATGGAAGGATAACTCAACTGTTGTTCTTCCTTTTCTAATAAAAATATGCACTTCAGTGGCCAAGAGTCTCACACGTAGAACAAGGTTTCCAATGACAATATTCAGAACACCGTATTAAAAAATAGCTTTCTGTGTATTTGTACAAGACTGAGCTAACATTTGCTATTTCTAGGAGTATCCTTGACAATAAAACAAATACATATGTGTAAAACAACTACAATAGTGGCATAAAAGCACCTAGGCTTTTGAAATATTTTATTCAAATCAACTGCCAGGGAAATCACTTAAATCACCTTTTTGGCAGGTGTGCCACAAATTAGCCTTGTGCCTTCACCAAATGCCACTCTGGTCCCATTCCCCTACCTAATCTGCTGCTCTGCTTCCTGTTCTCTGCCCTACCTGCTGCTGTGTTGCCAGCCCCTTCCCCAATCGGCTGTGTGCCATATACAGAGGTTACCCGTGTCATAAATTGGCCAGCCCTGGTTTAAAGCACTGACATTTGCACACTGGCACCTTTAATCCTGTGCTTCATATGGCAGTATTACCAAACACTGGCAGCTGCAGCTATCTGAGTCTCAAAGAATGTAATTTGGTTTCTTCATTTCAGTGACATCTTCACTAGACTATAAGGCTTTGTACCGATTAGTCAGACACAAGGAAAACTACATATTAGTTGAGGTGAAGCTATGATGACTGTAGTTGTCTAACAGTGTCAATCTGCACTTTAAATTAATATAATTTGTGAGTGCCAGACGACAGAGTTATAATAAAAAGCTCATATATTGCCAAGGTAATAAATAATTAGTGAGCATAACTGAATGAAATAGCAGGTTGAGCAGACACCCAAATTTTGAATCTAGACTCAGAAGTCAGTGAGCAGAATGATCCATTTCTCTGCCTTGAATGATAAAACAGCTCTCTCACAACCTAATATGCAGCACCATCTGGCACAAACACAGAGGAGACAGAACTTCTGGAAGTGAAACACAAAAGCAATTTAATTGCTTTAGAAGTGTCCAAAATATTAAAAGAATCCTTCAGAATATGCAGCAGACTTTTTTTTTTTTTTGCATTCCCTTCCTAAAGATGTGGACCTGTGTCTTGTAGAAACATTTATATAGCTGGTTATGTCAGTAGAGTATCACTGAACTGATTTTGTTCATGTGTGAGTATGCTATACAGGTAAGTCACTTTCAGAAACAAATGTTAAAATGAATACCGAGGTATGCCTTATTTTACCAGTCTGAATACACAACAGGACAGATTTGCTTTAGTCTCAGTGAGAAACATAAAATAAGAGAGAACTATCAGGGGTCTGGACTACATTTTATATCACAGCTCTGCTTTATATGCAGTTATTAATATTGGCACATGAATAGAAATATTAAACTATGCTTAGCTGAGGTTTATTTTTTGAAAAAAAGGTAATAATAGTGACCAATATCACTACGTGTGAATCACTGATTGTGAAGTGGTTCCATTTCATGAGCCCTTATCTTTCATGTAATTGAAAAGGAAAGCTCCTGTAGTATTGTTAGCTTTGAAAAAGGACTGTGAAACGGTTCTTGCCAAAAACATTATGCAGAATGTACCGTGCAAAATTATTAATCTGTGATGTTTGCCATACACATAGAAATGGGGTTTGCAACCAGGTTCAAATTAGTCTGGCTTAGCCAGTATCATCACATCTCAGTATTCATTTTATTATTGCTTTCTGAAAGTGACTTTTAATGTAGACTGTTTTCTAAATGATTCTTAAAAGACACTCCCTTCCTCCTCATCACCTTCACCTAAAGGCAATCATGTCTAGTAATATTGATCTATTTGCTGCTAGTTTTCATTAATTTTACCCTCCCTAAGGGTGGTTCAGCTTTGGCACCAGCTAATTAAAACCTATTTGGGGCTTCTCAGAACACTTTATAAAACTAGAATTAGCTCTGCTACTTTAGTAGAGACTACATGTTTCTCCATTATTGCCAATTAAATAATGTTTTCCATTACATATCCAAAGTAAAGGGAAAGTACATAACTCCTCACCTGGATTCAGGTAAACACAAAAATACAATAGTTTTTACCTGGTGCTTCTTGAAATGTACTTTAAATCCTTCCACTTGACTACACACATTAAATAGCAAAGTAGTAGTGAAGTACTGGGAAATGCTGACATCTTAGGAGTATCCTCTAGGGTAGTATTAAGTAAAATGCATTAATGCAGAAGTGTAAATAGCTGCCAATGTATATTATTATACACAACAATTATTAAAAAATGTGTGAGTATGCAAAGCATTAATGGAGTACTTAAGAACTCCATTAATAAAGATCTGTAGAAAGACCAGGATTCCCCCAACAGTCTAGATTCAGGTGCATCCCCCTGATGCTGGTAGTCTGTATTTTGCCCCTCTGTAGAATAAAAATTGGTTTGTTTTAAACTGAATACTTCTATTAGCCAATAACGAGTACATTATGAATGGCCAACCTATGGACTTGATGCTCTACTTCACTGAAATAAATGGCAGAGCTCCATGGACCTCAGTGGGGCAGGATCCAAGCCTATTTGCATTATAGGAGTGACTACAGCACATGCTTTTTGGCTACTTTTCATAACACATACCACAGAATTTGAGCACCATTATGATGAGACTATTTAAAGTCCCATTAATTGCCTAAAGAGATGTTACATCAAAGACCTGAAAGAAAAAGCTCATTAAAGCCTTGGAAGACAAAAAAATCCATTGTAATCTTACTATGCATTGGTAGTGTTCACTGTTTGTGAGGATAGTTTTGTAGTATTAAGACAAAAATAATTCAAGTTTACAACTGTCACTGCATATTTTTAAATGTGAGTGGAACTTGGTTTCTTTCCAAATTTTTTCTTGGGGGCACAGCAAAACAGAGCACTGTTCAAGTAACAATTGGAAGCATGTTTCTCCTAGGAAATGAAGGAATATTTGGCTGAGATACCTGAAAAGGTTTGTGTCAACATCATAATATTCTGGTGTGATGCAGGATGCTATTTTCCTCACTCAGAGAGCTCTGTTACTCTTTACTGCTTCAGCAAGCAGCATAGATCCCAAATAGCCTTCACGGTCCCAACCAGACCACTGAATGGAAGCAGTTTGATGGTGTCACAAATTGAAGACGTATGTGAGAGTCCGCAAACTATGGTCCGTAGCCTAGTAGCCATTGGTGGAATGTTCTCTTCTAGTACAGATATAGTGCTGGCTTTTGACATGGTACTTGCTTTCCCTATTTTCAGCCCCATTAAATGAAGTTAAAGATACATTTCTTATGTTGCACAGAAAAGCAATACCAGGGCATAACCTCTGCAAGGCTGAAAGGACAAATTTGAAGTCAAATGTGTGCTTCAGGTAAACCTGATCTTATGTGTCGAAGTAGTTATATTTTAAATTGGTGAAGATGCAAAGATTTCTTCACAAGTTAGAGACCAGAAGGTAGCACCTGATGTGGTAGAAGCAGGACGAAGGAAGAAGCTTCTCTCATGACATTCTCTTTCTGAGTAGATTGTGGCAGAGCTTGTGGCTCCAGTCTTCCCCTGACCTGCTTCTCTACAGGGGAACCTGGACCATACAAGGGATGGGCAATGACCTTCTGTAAGCCACTGGTGACTAGGACTGGTTGGAAATTCTCTGACAAAACAGAAGTTTCATTGCAAATTTAGGTTTATTGAGCCAAAATGTTTTGCTCCAAAATATCTCACGTTCAGTTAACTGAATCCAAGGCATGGTTCTCAGGGTGTCCCTGTCTGCATTCTTGGCTGCTCTGCCCCACAGCTGGGGATGCTGAAGGAGTGGGGTCCCAGGTCCTTCATATGCATCTAATTGGTCTACAGAGACCCTAGAGACCAGTAATCTTCAGCAACTCAATAAAAGTGATGCTTTTATCAGTTGCACAGTGCAAATGCAGGGTTGGGAATTAAAAAAAAATTGGTTTTGATCTGATTCAAACAAAACTCAAAATTTCCAAACTATATTTCCTGGAACTAGTAAACCCTGGTTTTGGATTCTAATGGCAAGTGTATGTTTGTGCTTGTACCTAGAGGATACAAATTGTTACAGTGCTCAGCTTCAAACTGTAGCAGTTCTTACTTTTAGGTCTGTCAATCCCTGGAGCTTTTATCAAGATGGGGATACTGTCACCACCCATATGGTATACTCTCTGAGGAGCATGCCCATACATACAGTTCTCCAGGAAAGCAGGAGACGTAATTTAGTAATTCGATAACTCAGCCATTGGTAAGATTCCTCATTATCCATTTTTACTGAGACATTTCCACGTTGTTCGCTATGCAGAGATCTGATAATCATTTATGTTTGAGGTAAAACTACAACAGAGATTGATAGAGAGATAAATATAAGATACCAAGTTTCCCAAGGTTATGTGTTAGGAAGAATATTGTGTAGGTTTTTTCTTTTCAAATAAAATGTCAATTTAATCAATAGTAAACTGAGCTGAAAACACCACACAGCTCTGAAAATGCTTCAGGAAGACATCCAATATTTTTGGGATTCAGGCCAACAAAAAAGGAAAGAACAGAAGGTAGCGTAGGTGGGGTAAATGGGGCCTGGCTGCTGCCTCATCAAGTGCTCATAACAGTCAAAAACATATAACAACCTGTTAGAAACATATTGGGGGGTTCATTTAATAACTGGCATGCAGCAACACCTTCTCTCATTTATATTTTGTCATTAACATTGTAGTAACTCTTCAAAGGCAAAACTTACCGGTCTTTTCCTGTCTCCTCCTTAAATACAGCATCACAGTAACTCATGCGCTTTTCTGTTGTCACATAGATTTTGGCACTGGGGTAGCTGTCAACAGTTTTCTTCAGCATGTTGTACACAATGCCATTGCCATCTTTTCTCATGTTCCGAAAAGGCCCCCAGATGACATAGATTGTGCTGTTGGCTTCCCTAAAAAAGTAGTCCGGATTCTTGAGCAACAGGGGCACACTGGTGTGAGAGACCACTCTTATTGTTGTCCTCTTCCCAACATCCTCCTCGTAGCCCTTGGTAGGAGCATTGTTCATTCTCCATATACAGGAGGACTGGTCAATCTCAGTTCCCACTTTCTGGGCAGCCATCTGACCCGAGTTTGAAACAATGGCACAAAGGCCACAGTCCAATTGTAGAGGCTGAAAGAGAGAGAACATAATATATGGTACATCTTCACTCTTAGAAACTGAAGATTGAACATTTACTTTAAAAAAGGCACAGTCCAATCAACTGGCTGCAAGATGCTCTCAAAATGCTTCAGTTCCCATGCATAAGAGCAGGTGGTGACGTATACTGTGGCAAAGCACTGAGTAAGATTTTCTACCAAAATAATCACCATGTGCTAATCATTTGCTTTATGTTCCCCACATTGCAATATTATATTTATTTATGAGTTAGTGGTATAGCCATTTTAAGCTGTCTGCAGCCATGCACTTGTGTTTGATCACGGCTATAAATGTCTTTCTGTGCCCAGATTGGGCAAAAATTGTCACTTCTGCTTGCACCCTCTCTCTCTTATGTTCTTCCATGGGAAATAAGTGTCCTCTGAAGAGAACCTATAAACGTTTTGTCTCCAGGAAAAAAAAGTTGTGTGCTCTAAGCTGGTTTTATAAAGGTTTTGACACAATATCTTCATAGATTAGATTACAGCAGAATATCTGTAAGAGACTACATATCTGATTATTATTACAAATTAAACATCCATTCATCCAGACATGTTAATGAAGTATTCAGTCAGTGCACAATTACATTTCCATCAATAATTTTCTGGGTTTTAAATTTATTACTGACAACAATCTTTTAAGATAAACAGAACATCCAACTAACTCATATATATATGAGTTATATATATAGGTTAGTTGGATATTCTGTTTCTTTACATATCTATGTAAAGACTGGTGGCCCATGGACTAGAACAGGGGCGGGCAATTATTTTGGGCGGAGGGCTGCTTACCCAGTTTTGGCAGGCTGTCGAGGGCCACATGGGTAGCCCTGCCCCTTGACAGGCACCCTGCCCCTTGACAGGCACCCTGCCCCCTGGTCACCATCTTGGGACCAATGTCCCAATGTCTTTGATTCCAAGACATTGGGACATTGGTCCCATGTCCCAGGGCCAGCATCAGTGGGGCCCAAAGCAGGGCGCAGGCTGGCAGGGGTCCATGGAGCCAGGCTGGGCTGCACCAGCAGGAAGAGGGGGGAGCTGGCCCTGCTCCATAGAGCCCCTGCCAGCTGGGACCCGGCGCTCCTGCTACCCTGCTCTGGGCCCTGCTGGCACTGGCCCCGCTGACTTCCTGCCCACTCACTTCCAGTGCCCCCCAGCCCTGCAGTACAGGCAGGGGGAAGCGCACAGCCCTGACCCCCTGCTCACCGGCAGGGAAGAAGCTGGTGTTGAGCATGGGGAAAAGTGGCCCCTTGCCCACGCCACAGCCAGCACTCCCTCCTGCAGTCACTTGCAGCCCATGTGGAGCTATCCTGAGCTGGCACAGGCAGCCCCATGTGGGCTGCAAGCAGCTACAGCGTGGGGCGCCAGCCATGGGGTAAGTGAGGGGCCACTTTTCCCTGTGCTCAGCACCAGCTTGTAACCTGCCCCTGCTGCCAGCCTGGGCTCTGCACTGGCTCTGGGCTCACATGTTGGGGCTGCGCATGGTGGCAGCAGCTGTGGCCCCCCCCGCATGCTGTTCCAGGCAGCATTTGCTGCTGCTGCCCACCCGGAGCACGCACTGGGCATCCCAGAGGCAGTGGTGGCAAAAACTGCCCGGCATGGCAAGCAGGGGGGGCCCCAGCTGCTGCCATGTGCAGCTCCGACCGGTGAGCCCAGAGCCATGCAGAGCCCAGGCTGGCAGTGGGGCTGGGTTACAAGGTGGTGCTGAGTGCAGGGGTGGGGGCGGTGTGTGGAAAAGTGGTCGCTTGCCCACCCCATGGCTGGTGCCCCACACTGCAGTCACTCGCAGTGTGCCTGCTGTGGATAGCCCCACGCTCGCTGAGAGCAGCTGCAGCAGGGAGCGCTGGCCCCAGGGCAGGGAAGGGCTGCTTTCCTCTGTGCTGGGAAGGAGCAGGGAAGGAGCCCAGGGAAAAGCTGAGCACGGTGGTGGGGGAAGCAGCCCCTCCCCCACCCCCTGGCTGGTGCTCCCTGCTGCAGCTGCTCACAGCCCATGCGGGGCTGTCCGGAGCAGGCACAGGCAGCATCAGGTGGGCTGTGAGTGGCTGCAGCATGGGGCACCAGCCACGGGGCAGGTGAGGGGCTGTTTTTTCCCCTCCCGCATGCTCAGCTTTTCCCCAGGCCACTTTTTCCAGGGTTCCTTCCCTGCCCTTCCCCCCACTTTCCCCTTTAGCTGAGGTTCCAGTGTGGGGCAGTCATGTGGTCCCAGGCCAGAAGCCTCCGCTGGGGCTACCGGCTGGGGGGGCAGGGCTGGGCAGGCCCTGCTGTTGTGGGAGTCCGCCAGGCTTCCCCTGGGTCCTACTGCCCTTTGTACCTGTCATTTTTGACAGGAATCAAAGGCAGAGAAATATTCATTTTCTAAATTTTTTTAGGGGCCCCATGGGCCGGATAGAATGGCCTTGCGGGCCGGATGCAGCCTGTGGGCTGTATTTTGCCCACCCCTGGACTAGAAACTTGACCCCTGGGCCCAATGAGGTCAGAGGGAAAATTTAATGTTTCCTTATGTCTAAAATGGAAACAACAGTAGTTACCTCCATCACAGAAGTACTGGAATTATTCCATTCTATTTGCTACAGTTATGGGGTATCCACTGATGCCCAAGAACAGTAGGATTGGGACCTACATATTTATAAAGTACCTTGAAAATGAAAATCATGACACACATAAATGGGACTATGTGAAACATTAGGTTAGAATCCCAAATCTGCTTGAGAAGCAGATTCATTCTACAAGAAACAGCATACAATTGGGATGATATTGTACAAGCCCTCCATTCATTCCATAGCCATGGTTAGGAAACCCTCCAACACTGTCTGTGATCATGACTTGATATTCTTTCCTGCAGCCCAGCAGTCTGTTAAAGTTCTTCAGGGGTAGCACATCCACTTCCTTTCTTAACAGAAGTGAGGACTAGATATTTGGTCTTTGCTTTGCACACAATGTAAGTGTTGTATAACAGCAATGAGGGAGCCCTTTATATGGCTGATATTAATCAGTGTCCTGGACACATTGGGTACATCCACACGAGCATGCATGTGCATCTTACAGCGTCTCTAAGCCCTTTGAGATGCTGCAAGAGGCACATGCGGGAACAAAAAAATGTTCCCTGCACTGCAAATTTGCAGCATAGGGGCAAAATTAGACCCCTGGATATCCAAGAATAATAATAAAAAAAAAATGGTGCCGGGAAACAGCGGGGCAAGCACCATCTTGGACCATGCTGGGAGGCAACTGGTAGAAGGAGTCCTCCAGAGAGACACTCTGGTATTGGGCCAGAGCATCTCTATGGCTCTCTATGCCTTGCCCCAGCAGCTGAGCATGCCCCTTGAGCATGCTCAAGAACAAAAGTGGGGCAAGGCTCGGAGCTTGCTTGTGGGTAGTTAGTTGGAGGTAACAAGTACTGTCTGGAGAAGTTCCAGAGTCTGGAGGAGTGGAGGCTGAAGCCATGAGAGATAAAGGTAAGAAGGGGAAGGGTGGGAATGGGAACTTTTTCTCTAAAAGGTTTTCCTCTTTGCAAAGGGCTCTTTGCAGGCTGCCAGTCTCAGCCTGCAAGAGTCACTTGCAAACTGGGTAGAAGTAAGAGGCAGAAGCCATGGAGCCCACCTTGCCCGACGGCTTGTACGAGCCCTGGAGTGGGGGACTGGGAGGCGGAAGCTGCATCATGTGTGGGGTCTGGGGGGCTTTTGGCTGGGTTTTGGGGCCCGCCCCCCCATTCCTTCCCCAACCCCTGCCACTGCCACCGCAAAAGGCAGCTGTGGGACCGTGAGCAGCGAGTTGTGGGCCTACACGTGGTGCAGGGTGCTGACCCAGCCTGATGCTACATGCCTTACCTAGCACAGGATCACATGGTTCTTGCTGCTACCCAGGGCCACACGTGGTGGCAAGAACCAGCCTGGTCCTGCCCGAGGTGATGGCACATGGTGTTGGGCCTGGTTGGCACCTTGCACCACGTGTAGCGGGGAAACGAGTAGTGGCGGGAGCCGCTGGGCGACACTGCTGGGAGCAAAGGGAGCAAGGTGGGTGTTGGGAGCCCCCCCCACACACACACACTGCAGCCCCTGCTGCACAGAGCCCCACAGCTGCCTGAAAAAGGCAGTCGTGGAACTGTCTGTGCACTACATGGCTGCTCCTGGCAGAGTCGCCTGGCAGCACTCGCCACCACTTGTGTTTCACATTGGCAAGTAGTGCATGCTGGCGGGGCCTGGCTGCGCCATGTGTAGGGTCCAGGAGAGGTTCTTGGGTGGGTGTTGGGGGGCCCCCACATTCCCGCCTCCACTGCACAGAGCCCCACAGCTGTCTTTTGCAGATCCATGCAACAGAGTCGGCCAGTGAAACCTGCCACCGCTTGTTTCCCTGCTGCACATGGTGCAGGGTGCCAACCTGGCCCGATGTCCATGCCAGGCAAGAACTGGTGCAGTCCTACCTGAAGTGGGGCATGTGGCATAGGGCTGGGCTGAGTCAGCACCCTGTGCCACATGCAGCAGGGAAGCAGGTGGTGGCAGGTGCCGCCGGCTGACTCTGCCAGGTGCAGCCATCCAGCACACAAACAGTCTCATGGCTGCCTGATGCGGAGGCTGGGGGAGAGGGGGCACAGGCATGTGTGTGGCTCTCTCTCTCCATGCCCCCCACCACATAAAAATGTCCAGATATCATTAAAGCACGACTTAGCTTTTTTTCTCTCTTGCTCGCTTTCTTTTATATATGTGTATGTGTATATAGTGGGGTTCCAGTTTACTAGTGGAAGTTCATGGGTATTTGGGGTTCATTTTCTAATGCGTGCAATTGAGATTTGTTAATCTGAAGTTTGAAATTTGTAAACAGGGAACCTCAGGATCCATGCCAGTGAGGCAACTGGTGGGACCTTGGCACAGGAGCCTGGTCAGAGCCAGCACCAGGGACCCACCTGGAGGGCAGACTAGGTGGCCAACCTCCTGGCCGTTTGGGGCCAGGAAGACACACTTCAGCAGTTTAGAGCAGGCC